CAACAGGGGCTACCCACTGTATTCCCAGAAAATTTCAACTTCGACTATGTAACACATAGCAGGTGCTTAATAAATTCCTGTTGAAATTAAGTGAGTCAAACATATTCATCTAAAAACTGCAATACTTTAAACATTTTAAATATCATGTAAAGCTTTTCCTGTCGTTTGAGAAATAAACTGCCACTTACCAAATAAAAGTTGTTTTATTACCCAGAAATATTTTTACTTGAAATTATTATGGTATGCGGTATTTGTTCCCCTTCAGAATATATTTCTTTGCTTTTCATGCTGTTCTAATCTATTACGGACAAAATATCTAGAAAGTTAAAATGGGTATAGCATTCATTTCATGCCTTTATTAATCCCTAATCTTCTTATCTATTCACTGAGATAACACAAAATTTAATAAACATGCTTTTAATGGAAATCTTTTCTGTTTGACCAAGTCTTACTAGAAAAAAAGAGCCAATGTTATTCCATTAATATCTGCTTATTCTACTAGAATCATGCAATCTTTTTTTTTTTTTTTTTGGAGGCAATCAGGATTAAGTGACTTGCTCAAGGTCACTGAATTTGAACTCAGGTCCTCGGGACTCTAGGGCCAATGGTCTATCCACTGCCACCTAGCTGTCCCTAGAATCATGGAATCATAACAATTTGGGGCCTTAAATGTTATCTGGTCCCTATAAATCTACCTCTCCAATATATGGGAAAAGAAGTCATCCCGTCTCTGCTCAAACACAGTGAAACAACTTTACCATAAAAATTGCAAAACGTATCCTTCAAAGGGATCCTATTTAATTAGATAATCTGTATAACAAAATACCTATTATAGGGCAAATGTAAATGATGGTGGTCTTAGACAATCATGTTAGAAATCCAGATGCAGAAAAAGATAATTTACCTGTCTTTACTTCTAGAAAATTTTGGCTGTATCATCTTTGGATGTGTTCAGACTACAGAGAAATAAGCTATATTGGTACAATTTTAAAATACAGTAGTTTCTCTAAGACTGTACCTAGGAGGGCTATTTAGTGATGAATGCAAAAGTCATTTTCAAAAGATAAGATTTCAGTTGGGTGTGGTTCTATTTAATTTTGACATTTTTTTTCCAGAAGCTGATTTAAAACATTTCTCTCAAAAGGGGTGGGGTAGCATTTACCTTTGCCTTACACAATTTAAGATTAAATCATTTAAAAGAAATCCCACATAATCAACATTATACTAGAGTTTAGGCTAAACTGAACAAAAGACTGAAAGACAGTGTGTAATCTCTCTAAAGCAAGGGGGTGGGGCTAGAAGGTCTTTTTTTTGTTTGTTTTTGTTTTTTACCATTCTGAATTTCAGTGACTGGAGTCAGTCACCAGGCTACTAATTAGCTGTTTGACTTTGGTCAAGTTACTTAACTAACCACTTTGAGCTTCAGTTTCCCCACCTGGAAAGAAGGGGGCCTGGTCTAAATGATCTCAAAAGGTCCCTTCCAGCTCTAACAGAAAGTAGTTCTGGAAGCAAGAATACATAATTTGTTTTTTAAACATATGCCTGGACTTGGGAAAGTGAAAACCTGGGAACATTTCACTTCCACAAAGAGGAAAGCTTCTTAGATCAGTAATTTGAGGGTGTCAACATAGAAATCAATGAGTTCATCAGCCAATTTTCCAAGTAGGTAGTTTATCTGGCTACCTCCAAAAAAAAAAAAATCTAAGCATAAGCAGCCTTTCTCCAATTTTATTTAGGGCAAAATCAGAAAGAACAAGATTCAGAACTAAATTAAAAACAAGTCTAAGAAAATAAGTCAAATAGACAAGAGGCTTATATGGGGGTTGGTGATGAAAGAAAAATCCACTACCTTTCCTTCCTCAGAAGCTTATCCTACCCCTCCTGCAAGGAAATAGATAACTACAAGTGCTTATAATGAAATATTATAAGTTCCCTAGAAATACATGAATCTTCAAAGTAACCCATCACTTCCACCAGGCCTCCACAGGTGTCTAGGGCCATAAGCAGCTAGTTCCTTTCCTTCTCTCATTGATGAGGGGGAGGGGATAATGGCAGGTGAATTTCTGACAGACTATCTTATTAAGTCCTTTGTGGTGGTGGGGTTTTTTCTTTGTTTCTTCCTTTGTGGCTGGAGGTGAAACTGTTAAGGGAAATGCTTTAAGAGTGTGTCTGATACAGGTAAAACGTAAAGATGTTAGGGAGGAAGCCCTGGTGAGCTGGCAAACAGGTTTCACAGATCCGATTTGTGCAGGCCCAGAAGGAAGGAAAGTGAGAGTGTAAAGAAAGAGTAGGATCCAGCGAAGGGGAAAAGTGAGAACACTAGAATGAAAGGTGTGGCTATATTACACATACAGACACACGTTTACATATAGTGTATACATACATAATTTAACCACATCCATCTATATATTTATAGATGTATGTGTATAAGGATTTGTTCTGTAAAACTTGGACTCAGTCAAATGGCCACACTTGAGAACCGAGAGGGCCACATGTGGCCTCGAGGCAGCAGGTTCCCCACCCTGGCATGGACTATAGTCACTGAGGGCAAATGTGCAGTTAACAGTAGCAACTCACTAAAGGAAGAACAGGGCACACAGATTGATAGTGGGTACAGGAACTTGGCCATGGGGCTGCTTTATTGCATAAATTCCTACAAGGGACAAAAGGAATAGCAGATGATGCCCATTAGAGGGGGACTCAATAGGGAAGAGTATATGTAATACAGGGATAATGCAGCAAAACGACGCCAGCTAAACTGGCTTGGGATTACTAAGGAATCCCTAGTTTTCACCTCTCTCCAGCACAGCCACTAAGGAGTGGGAGATTTCCAGAAATTGACCAAGAAGGACGCCGAGGGGCAGGGGTGAAGAAAGAGGTCTACAATTCAGAGGCGATTAAGCAGGGCTTTTAAATGTTTAATTTTCTACTGGCTGAGGGCGCTCAACAGGAGCTCCTGGCCTCCTCCCAGTGGTCAACCTCGATGCACCGCCGCTACCACCACTGCTGGGTGTGTGCCAGTATGCCGCCGTCGCCACTCTTCTCTGAGCTTGCTGAGCACGCCCAGCAACCTCTGCGTGCAACACACTTTCTTCCAAAAAACGTCTCCTACACTATCCCTCCCTCCTCTGCGCACAAACACGCGCACATCACACATACAAGGGCGAGCTCACCCCACATCACACCACTGCTCCCTCTGCATTCTCTTCCCCCGCCGCCTCCCCTCCAGCACCACTGCAGCCAGTGCGAACGCGACGAGCTCCACCTCCCACCTCCCGGCAGGCCCTATCTCCCGTCTCTCCAGCGCACCCCCTATCCTCCTCTGGAGACCAAGCTCAGTCCCAGGGGTGGGGAAACACAGGGAAAGGGCCAAGAAAGGGTTAAATGCAGCGGCAAAGGGTAAATGCCCGCCAGGTCCGGCCTGGGGAGGAAGTGGTCGGGAGGGGGATGGTGAGAGAGGGGAAGAAGGAGCCGGCAGAGCGTCCGAGTACACGTGTGCGTGAGGGTGTGCGCCCCTGGGCTGGAGCTGATGGCGTCTCTGCCCCTGGAGCACCGAGGCGCACGCTCTCCTTTCCTCCGGGGCCGAGGGGCAAGCCCTGGCAGCTGGAGGTGGGCCAAGAGAGGGGGGCGAGTTAAACCTCCCTTCTCGGGCACCCCACTGCACCCCCTCCCTTCCTCCTCTCCTACTCCCCCAATCCGCCAGCCTGGCTTCGCTTCCTGCCAGCGCCAACTGGTTTCTCATTGATGGGATTGAGGGTGTGTGTCTGTGTCTGTGTGCGCGCACGCGTGGGTCTGCAGCTCGGCGAGCGTGCGTGTAAAAGAAGGAACCTCCGCGAGCCTCTGGCAGCCCCCCGGCAGCAGCCTGGGTTCACCTGGGGTTGAGAACTGCTGCCTGATGGAGACTTCGTATTTTGGGCGACTTTGCAAGGCTTTCAGTTGAAAAAGAAAATTATAACCCTGCCCCCCTACGTGACTACAAGGATTAGTCCATTACATGCTCCTCCTGATAAATATTGCAAGGTGACACTGGATCATTAGCACCGGGATTTTCTGCGGGGCTAGAGAAGGGAACGTACATAGTAAACAAGACAGATGCTTATCTCGGTTAGAACTTTTCTCTGAGTAGGAGCCCCTGACTCCATGCCGCACCCCCTGCCCCCAAGAGCTATGAGGGCCCGAATCATTTTCGGCTCTGGTACTCAGATAACTTGTATTAAAATCTTTAAATGCCTAGCAAATTGCTAGGGAGGGTCAGGGGCGCGTTTTCATTTAAAAGCACAAAGTTAATAATGGTGCGTGTCTCTACACATGCCGGGGTTCATTCATTTTTTTATTATTGTTGTTTCTTCCCTCCCACCCTTTCCTGTAACCGGAAAGGGGATCAGATCAAAATGGGAAAAGAGGTCCCTAGAAAGGAATGATTGGGACTGGAAGACGAGGGGGGGGGCTGAACAAGGGGCAGTAGTATGGAAAAGGGCTGCAAGGAGAAAGGAAGGGCATAAAGGAGATAGTGAAAGGGTGTGGGGAGTGTACCCGAATGAGGTGTGGGGGGGAATGGAAAAAGGGGGTTGAGTGATCAGGAGATGGAGGTGGGTTAATTTTCACATTCTGACTGCTTTTCTGTTCTAAATATGTCAGACCATGCATTATGAAAAAAAACTGTAAATGCTTACAAAAACTAGGTTATACATTTTAGAATTCTGAAGCTAAGAATCACTCCCCTCTTCCTCTGCCATACACACATCTTTCTATACAATAAACACATGTGTTCTATTATGTTACATAATATATAGTGCATATTCACACGAATTACATATTTTCCTAGGTGCACTTCCACAGCCTAAGCTATGTATACACAAGATATACAAGAACTTACACAGATTCGCTTAGTATTTGTGCAATTCATATCTCAAACCTTCTTACAGAAATATTAACATTAAGACACATCAAAAAGGCAATCAGGGTACCTAGACGTGGTATTACATCAAAACATCACATACCAGTTCTCTTGCATCCACTGGATGGCTTCATTCTCGTTGAATTGCTTTTCAAATTCATATTCTTGCAAAGTCAACACTGACATGTTCATTGGAACTGCTTCTCTGAGTCCCTGCGTATTCTATATAAAAATATGTAAATTATCTCCAAAAAGCGTTTTTCCCCCCTTTCTAGTACTCTCTGCGGTCCTTCCCCCACCCACCCCCCTATTTCTCCCCCTCCCTGTGCAGCCTCTGTGTCTCTCTCAGCTGTATCCTAGATTTAGCATTGCTTTTTCCTGCTCTTCTTATTCTCCTCCTGTGTCTGGGGTTCTCCTCCTCTCTCGGCTTCTGCATCAACCGTAGGAGGAAACGAATGCCTTGCGGTCTTAGTGCCCGCACGTTTATCCATCACCCTTTACATGTCTACGAGGAAATCTCCTCCCCCTCGTGTGATTGGAAAATAAACCCCGTGCGAGGATCGAGAGAGACCTCCTCCCTCCGACAATTTTGTTTACAGTTAAGCATACGACCTGGAGGGGAATTGAAAAAAATGTATAAGTGAATTCGAGTTCACTGGCTGTTTAATCACCCTTGATATTGGCCCTCTCTAGTCCGGCAGGGAGTCACAGTTACCTTTCCTAGTTATCTTTTGAATGAAGTTTTGCTCGCCCACCGCGGTCTCATTCTTGAAGTAGTCAAACCTGCTAGCCCTCTTGCCAAAGGAAAGACAAACGCACATTTTTCTCATAGATTGGACGCAAGACACATATTTCTGCCTATCTCTTTACCACTCTCCCTCAACCCCTCCCCCACTCCCGCCACTCGGGTGCTGGCGCTCGCAGCTTGAGTTACTAGGCTGAGAGAACCTGACTGCCTGCAGCAATCGTGAGCTTGAGGGCTGACTGGGGGATGCTGAGCTGAGACTTTTGATCAAAAACTCACGTTAAGGTTTGCCAAGTGTAGGGTGAATCGGGGAGGGGAAAGAGCACTCCTGAGAAGTTAATGTGATGGAGATGGGGCAGGAGGTGCGCGCGGAGGTCAATGACCTAAGACAAAACGGGGGGGTGGGTGGGGGGGGACAAGGGAACTGGAAAAACTGGTCCAGTGGGGGGAAAACCGAGTGTGCGTGAGTATAATTTTGAGTTATATGTGTGGGAGGGACAGAGT